TCGGTACGTCTGGTCGCACAGATTCGGTCCTAATCTGAAATTCCTCAACCGAGAGCGTGAGTTCGAAGACATCACCGAACGCATCATGTCTATGATTTGCTGTATCACTTATAGGCGAAGACCTTGGAATTCAATTCATTGAGTTAACCTTCTATTTCCTATGAAACTGCTCGTGAGATACTTCAGCTCGCCCTCCGTTCACCCAGGCTTGGCACTACAAGCGAACACAATTCGTTGATATCAATCGAACCAGGCAGAGTGGCCTCACGAAAAATCGACTTCAATACTCAGCAAATAACGAAATGTGACGAACAACCGTATGCCTATCATATGCTAACACTTCTCGCTGAAAAGTATCCACGAGCTGGGCTCGGGTAATGAAAAATGCCTTTCAAACAAAGGCGCTGGAATAGTATTCTGCAGCATACGGGTGGCCTGGTTTTAGTGACTCAGCGAAAGAAAAGTGATTGGAGACAGAAATAGCTGATGATAATATCAATACTATCTATGGATGTAAAAAGCATACAGAGAAAGCACACGGAGACATTGTCTCCGAGACAATGATGTACTCGCGTGACACGATGCAGCGAGGCTAGCAAAATAGAAATTCTAAAGCCTGAACGCTTAGGCCCTAAGCCTTAGGGTCGCAGGTCAGTCCCATATTCGAAGCACTATCCCTCATTATAGCGCGCGTAGATGACATGAGTATCTCCGGGGGAATCTGAGGATCCAAAGAGGGAGTATCAGACTACATATTATTTTTGAAAAGTTGTGGATGACATCTGAGCTTGATGCCGAGTAACAGCAGCTGGAAGCTTGAAAGCTCGAGCCCTGCTCTACTTCATATGTACGGTTACATGTATTGAGCCAAGCAAGACACGGAGAAACTCACCCAGTATGTTGATGAACCCCGCCTTCCTATAAAGTTCTCTCGCGGGTTGGTTTGTGCGGAGAACCAGTAGGTAGACTACACCCCAGTTCGGGTACGTCTTGGGAAACTGAGGGACAACAAACATTGAAGGCTACTCCAAATGGCCATTTTCGTGGGAATAGAGACTGCACAGCTCGGCAGGGGAGTCCATCGCAGGTATCACCTCCTTGAAGGTTACAGACAAAAGTGTCGTTGCAATTTTCTGCCTCCGCCAAGCTTCGAGGACATAAACCTGAAAGTCCAGTTTGCAACCACCGTTCGTCGAACGGCGGCATTCGGCTCACAAGTCTTATATATCCAATCTCTCCACTCTTGCTCCCTTTCGGCCTATGAAGACAACGCTTGAGGAGACCTCCAGCCGAAAGAGGTCGGACCGCTAGATCCTCTCTCAATAGTAGGACTCACCTGTGGTCTTTGATTGCAGTCTTGATCTCCTGAGGTGTGTCATCTTCAGGGATCTCCAGATTGACCACGCCGATGACGGTCTGGGGAGAGAATCTTTCCGCAGTAGTCATCGTAAACTGCTGAGTGTAGCCGGTTATTCTCAGTGCATTTCTAACTCACACTAGCGAATCGATAGTGCTGCAAGACCGACCGTTGGCTTCCGAGCAGAAATGCATTGCATTGCATTCAATGCACGTGCCGCTCGACGAAGGATTTGGTACGCTGTTTTCGATGGGTTTTCAATACGACTACAACTCCTTCTGACAGAGACAAACAGTTTATAGTATCCGCACCTTAGTTCCGCTGGGCACTGCGACCCAACATAGGAAAACACCACAAGATGGAAGATGGTCTTCTTTTGCCAGGAGGGATGTGTCATCACCCTTCTGGTATTTCCGATAAGCCACTCCATTAAGCGAGCGCAATGTATGGGGCTCCGACACCGGGTGAGTCCGATGGTCTCCAACCACTGCGGAGAGTAACCCCAACAGCAGGGTGATGAGGAGCTTCATGTGTGAACGGAAAGGAGAAATTAACCTGGATCGCAGAAAATCCTCGGTACAACGTCCGAATGAGTCAGATTCCGCACAACGGTTGTGGCACAACCGTTGTGCGTTTGGGCCACAACCGCCTTGTGCGAGCTAGACCTTCTGTCGATGGATCTACTCGGAGTCGTGATCGCGTCGTCGATTGATACTATAGATAGTCGATGCTAGCGACTCTGGCAACACAGTTGTGAAGGTAGATACGGGCGGAAGGTAATACTGAGCACTGCTAAGTTAGCAGCGGTCGAAAAGGTTGGCAGGGAGTCAAGTTGACTCAGTCAACAATAATCCACAAGAGAATGATTCTCTGAGAATCCCGCGGAACACTCCAAATGTAATCGACCGTTTGACGCATGCGCACATAAGCTACGGTTGAGGCCCTCGCGCTCACTCTATACTGTGTATGCCGCATAGGCAACAACGAAAGGTAACGGATGATGGCCGAACGGAGTCGATTCACGTATATCGAACGATCGATACAATGCAGCTAACAGACTGGCCCACAGGAGCGGGCAAATCCTCCTACCACAGACCACCAGCCGGGAGGAAGCGGACCATTCTAGAATTGTAAATTTTCTAGCTTGTGCATTCAAAGAAATCGTGATTACGCTTGCGAATGCACGCACACTGCACTGCACGCATACTTGCAACGGCGAAGCAACAGCTAATCCATTATAAATTTACGTCGTAAATTTTACGATCACATCAGCATGCATCATCAACGTACTAAGAGTATGCGAGTCACAAGAGCAACGCTCCTCTAACTCATGCAAGTGCCCATATGAACAGAACCTCATGTTGTTGTGAGTCAGTACTCCATAAGTGTTTCACGGAATCGATAGAGTAAGTAGGCACAAGTCGCGTGTACATATTTGCACACGCTGTGGGCGGATCTACTCGAGGTCGTGATCGAATCGTCACTTGATAATTTAGGTAATTCTATTTATTGGCAATTAATCTGATTCTAATACTTCAGCTTTGGTCGACAAAACTAGATGGAGTGACAACAGTAGTCCTCAAAAGATTTCACGAGATTCTTTGAATGCGATCGATCGTTTCACGAATGTACTCGTGTCAGCCACAATTGACACGTTTTCTCCCGTGTACATGCGTGAAACGGGTCTCGAGTATAGGCTTTGATGAGAGAGGCACTTTGTGACAAACAAGGTTGATTCATCATGAAGGAGCGTTGACACTAGGGCTTCGGTACGAAGGGGGGCATCGCGCTGAAATTATAACCGAATACGCAATAATGTCTACTGCAGAATTCAAAGCTTAGAGGTCTGGATAACGGAGATATTCTAAATGGTCTGGATATTCTTAACCTACTCAGCTACTAAGAACGCGCAAAAGCCAAATCTCTTTCCCTGGGTCTGATGACTCCCAACTGTTGTTTGATCTTCACTTCTCGAGTGCAATCGGGATTCCATAACCAACAGAACGATACATCGCTCGTCGTCGAAATCGCTGTACTTGTATCAGAATTTGTGCTCACGCACGGATTGATGGATGCACTGAAACAACCGCGAACTGCAATATACGCCCGCTCGCTTCGCTTCCTCCGCAACTAGGCAGATCAATGATCAGAAATCATATAGTTTTATCTATTCAAGTTACCGATTTGATGCTCATTGGTGAAGTTATCTTCCTATTACGGCATGATGGTGATTGTGGTGTTGTAATCATAACAATGTTATGGTCTGTTCAAAACCCGACATGGTGCACTCGAACTTCTGTTTTCGGGCGGTTCACAACTCCTATTCAGGTGGAGACGCTATCCCACTATGTGCAATTTGATGGGATCCTGACGTTAGACAACAAGTCAACTCCTCCACGTCACAGCTACACCGTCTGCAGTAATGAGCCTGTCCCGTTGGCGGACGTGAAAAATAAGGCTTGACTTAATTGCTAATGCTGATGCGATACATCACTGATGGGATAAAATTTGTTATTGAATTTAATTTTCTATGAGCATTCCATTTGAGTCTCGAGCATGTACGAAGCAACTTTGTTGACTTGTATGTGAGGCCATAGGTATTTTAGTGAGTAATCAGTATTCTTACATCTAGTAACTACATATGGCTCAAGTGCCGAGGTTCTCAAGTGAGGCACGGTAGGTCACCAGCAGCCTTAAACATGGCATAAGATCTCTGCTGCAACATCGTGACAGTCTGGCTCTGTGGGAGAGCTTCGCGCTGTGGGTTTCAAACATTCTAGCAGCGATTCCGAGATATACCTGCTGCTAGACAAGCAAGAGAATTGCCCTCAATCCGAAAGACTCATTCGCTCATCAGTGACATACGGTGTGTCCCAATGGGACAGTCCCATCACACTGTTACAAACCATTCTACTGAGGTTCACAGAATAACAACGTGGCAGAAAGACTTTCTAATGACGAATATCAGCGGTTTTGGAATGAAGGCGGTTTTCGCGAGCCATCTACAATCCAAGCAGCTTGAGAATCGCCAGACTGCAGAGTCTCCAGTGGAGATCCCAGTGAAGATGTGCTTCTGGCGATGTATCACACTTTGTCAATGGAGTGTGTTGATGTAGCGTATTACCGTCTATACTTTACCAAAACATACGTCATTTCTCACACTGCAAACGCGGTCCATATGAGCTGAGCTAAACCAATAGATATCGTGATTAATGGACAACATCCTCGATCATTGTTGACTCATAACGATCGAGCCATATATTGAATTCGGGCCGTCTACAACATATCAACATGAGGGATAATGGTCCCGATAAGTGAAGCATATGCGACCAGACGTACCGAATCTGAAATTCCTCACATTTGCTGTATCACTTATAGGCGAAGGCCTTGGAACCCAATTCATTGAGCTAACCTTCTATTTCCTATGAAGCTGCTCTTGAGATACTTCAGCTCGCCCTCCGTTCACCCAGGCCTGGCACTACAAGCGAACACAATTCGTTGATATCAATCGAACCAGAAAGAGTGGCCTCACGAAAAATCGACTTCAATACTCAGCAAATAACGACTATGCAACGAACAACCGTATGCCTATCATAGGCTAACACTTCTCGCTGAAAAGTATCCACGAGCTGGGCTCGGGTAATGAAAAATGCCTTTCAAATAAAGGCGCTTGAATAGTATTCTGCAGCATACGGGTGGCCTGGTTTTACCTACAGGAAAATCGATCAATTCATGTGTGCAGGCCAACTTGCACACAACTTTGTGCGTCACCTTCACGCACAAATCACAGCAACCTGATGAAGTGATCATGCTTCCCAGATGACTCAGCGGAAGAAAAGTGATTGGAGACCGAAATAGCTGATAATAATATCAGATAACAATGCCATCTATGGATGATAAAAGGCATACAGAGAGAGCACACGGAGACATTGTCTCCGAGACAATGATGTATACGATACTCGTGACACGATGCAGCGAGGCTAGCAAAATAGAAAATTTAAGGCCTGAACACTTAGGGTCGCAGGTCAGTCCCATATTCGAACCATTATCCCTCATTATAGCGCGCGTAGGTGACATAAGTATCTCCGGGAGTATCTGAGGATCCAACGGGAGTGTATAAGATTGCATATTATTTTTGAAGTTGTGGGCGACATCTGATGCCGAGTCACAGCAGCTGGAAGCTTGAAAGCTCGAGCCTTGCTCTACTTCATGTGTACGGTCACATGTATTGAGCCAAGCAAGGCATGGAGAAACTCACCCAGTATGTTGATGAACCCCGCCTTGCTATAAAGTTCTCTCGCGGGTTGGTTTGTGCGGAGAACCAGAAGAAAGACTACACCCCAGTTCGGGTACGCCTTGGGAAACTGAGAGACAACAAACATTGAAGGCTACTCTCAATGGCCATCTTTCGTGGGAATAGAGACTGCACAGTTCAACAGGGGAGTCCGTCGCAGGTTTCACCTCCTTGAAGGTTACAGACAAAAGTGTCGATGCAATTTTCTGCCTCCGCCAAGCTTCGACGACATAAACCTGAAAGTCCAGTTTGCAACCACCGTTCGTCGAACGGCGGCATTCGGCTCACAAGTCTTATATATCCAATCTCTCCACTCTTGCTCCCTTTCGGCCTATGAAGACAACGCTTGAGGAGACCTCCAGCCGAAAGAGGTCGGAACGCTAGATCCTCTCTCAATAGTAGGACTCACCTGTGGTCTTTGATTGCAGTCTTGATCTCCTGAGATGTGTCATCTTCAGGGATTTCCAGATTGACCACGCCGATGATAATCTGAGGCGGGAATCTTTCCGCAATAGTCATCGTAAACTGCTGAGTGTAGCCGGCTATTCTCAATGCATATCTAACTCACACTAGCGAATCGATAATGCTGCAAGACCGACCGTTGGCTTCCGAGCGGAAATGCATTGCATTGCATTCAATGCACGTGCCGCTCGACGAAGGATTTGGTACGCTGTTTTCGATGTTTTTCCAATACAACTATGGATGCTCCTGACAGAGTAAAGCAGTTTATAGTATCCGCACCTTAGTTCCGCTGGGCACTGCGACCCAACATTGGAAAAGATCACAAGCTGGAAA